CTTTTTACTATTATGATTAAGAACGTTATTGCAATTATTTCTAAAATTACCGTTATTATCATTATTCTTGCCATTATTACGACTATCGTTATCTATCACTGTCATTACATATTTCGTTCTTTTATTGTTCTTATTATCATTGCTGTTATCATTACTACGGTTATAATTATTTACTATAATTTTTTAGCATTACTCCGTCCTTATTTCATCATTATCACTGGTGTAGTTATCAAAGGAAATTAGAAATATCATTATCTTAATCACGTAATTATAATCCCTATAATCATCAGAATTTCTCGTTATAATATCTTATAGTTGTCGTTATTTTTCATTATTCTCATTGATTTCATTATTATAATAATTACTACAGATCCTAAACGTGATGATAAAACAATAGCGATGATGATAATGCCTATCATTACTGACATTGTCATTATAATGATCCTTCTACTTATAATCTTCATTGGTATCATAGATATCATCATTATCATCATCATTATGATCATTACTACTATTATCATTATTACCATAATTACTGTACTATTCACTGCCATCCAATATCATTGTGAACATCTGCATCGCCATTACTATAAAATTTTGATAATCTTTATCATCAATATTGTTATCATATTTGTTATAGTTAAAATCATCATTGCTATTATTGCTATTATTATCATTATTATTATTGTTATCATTATCATAAATATTATTATTATTACTACTTTTATTATTATCCTTATCACCATTTTTATTATTACTATTACCATTATTATCATCATTATTTAATCATTATTTTCATTGACATCATAATTATCATTATTGTCATTTCTAGTTATAATATTTCCATCATCATAATCACTATGATTATTATCACTCTTATCATCATTGTTATCATATTCATTACTATTACTATTATTATTATCATTATTGGTACTATTCCTTTTACTTTGTTATTATTACTATTATTGCTGTAATCTCTATGATTATTATTATCAATATCGTGATCATAAATATTATGGTTATAATAATATCATTTATTATTATTATTATTATTATTATTATGATCATTACTATTATCATTATTACTATAATCTTTATTACTATTATTAGTTTCTTTATTACCATTATTATTGTTATTGTTATTATCATTATTATTGTGTTGTTGTTTCTGTTGTTGTGACTACTACTTACAATTATAATCATCCACAGTAATATTATAATTATCACTGTCATTGTATCTAATGGCAACACAATCAGTATCTTTATTACCCATAGTATTAAAAGCAGTATTGTTCCCCTCAACATCATTTTTATGAACACCTTCATAATAAACATTAACATCAGCCTAATCATTCCTCTTAATATCAAAGCTTAACTGATACAATGCATATTCAATGTATGGTGACACTAGCTACGGTTTATCATCACATAGAATTCTTTGCACAACGCTTCTTTTATAACGAACAACAGCCATCGTCAAATTTATTTACGCCTAACGATCCTCACAATCGAAATAAACACCTGTTGATTTTCCCGCAAACGCAGATAGGGGCTTTGGCGGCTGCTTATATAGCGAGTGAAAACTAGAGGGAAGCGCAGCCGGTAAGTGTCGTTCTCGGGACATGAGAGGTTAGTGGTGCAAAAGAGCAGCTTATTTTTTTTAGGTCTTTAGTTTGCTGTTCCTTTTTTGTCTTCATTCTCTAGGTATGGTCCCTATACATTGAAGGATAATACTCCTCTTACTGAAAGCACAAAAGGATATGCATCATAGGGTGTAGTATTACAAAATACTAATGCAGTGGGTGAAACAATAAATATAGTGGGTACAGGGGTGTAGCCAGATTTTTAGGATGGGGCCATATTCAGCAGAGAAAGTCCCTGGGGTTACATTTCTCTCAGTTCTTTATCTTCGTGTGTTCTATTTCTTTATTCATTTTTCGTCTTTTATATCAATGAATGATTTGTCGCCGATGAACTGGTCAACATCAATTATTAAGTTTACAAATTACAAATCTTAAGGTATTACCAATGGTGTATACTACTCAGTCAATATGGGACAGCAAATCGCACTATGTAATACTCTCAAGACAGCAATATGATAAAACTACTGTATTCCCTTACAAGGCAGGGGACTAAGACAAGGAATGTGACGCATTGCAATGTCCTCAGGTCTACAAGCGTAACAGTGCTCGCGGGGGTGGTGGCAGCCTCCCTCGGGTCGCCCCTGGCAGGATGGACGCCCGATTCTCCGGTCAACGCAGACGAACTCGGACCTTTCAATGGCAGCGACATGGAAGGACCGCTGCCACCATTTAAGAACGGGCTGGTGGATGAGAAGTACCGCTGGGCCGGATGCTACGGTCATTTATGAGATTGCTGGAGACTTCAGTATGTTTTTCTCTGGTTTTGCCTTAGCCTCTCTCTCTCTTCTCTCTTCTCCTTTTTTCTCCTATCTCCTTACATATCTACTTCTCTATCACTCTCTTCGTCATTTTCTCAG